ATTGGTCCAGAGGGGAAGGTGGGGAAAAGACGAAGACATTCACTTATCAACTGACAGGGGACACACCCTTCCTCGCCAGTCCTCAGGGAAGAAGAGTGATCTAAGTCAGGACACCAAACTGGCTTGAGTAGATGAAAGGAGCTTAGGGGTGCACATCACTGAGAAGAGGAGGCCTTCAGGCCTGGTTGGATCCAGCCCTCAAGTGTCCCAGGTGATGGTCACTTGCCTCCCTTGGCTCTCCAAGCAGGTCGTCCCAAGCATTCCCTCCCCGTGGTTTGAAAGGAAGGTCCCCTGCATAGAAAGCCCAGGGAAACGTGGACCGCAGTCAGACACCGAGGCGCACACCTGCAATCCCAGCTACGGGGGAGGCGGAGGCGGGAAAATCGCAAGTTAAAGGTCAGCCTGGGCCATTCAGCAAGGCCCTCCACGTTGAAGCAAGCCCTGTCTTAAAATGAAAAATAAAAAGGGCTGGGTGTCGCTCCGTGGTAAAGTGACCCTGGGCTCAATCCCAAGACGGGGGGAAAAGTGGACTCCATCTTCTTGATACTGTCCCATAAAATCCCCGGGTGGACGCCTTCGCCCGATGGCGGTCACACGCACCTTCTGAACCAGTCGCAGTGGCCAGGGGAGGACGGGGGTGTCAGCTGGCTGACCTAGGACACGCATCTGCTCTTGGGATGGGTGGGGCATTGAGGCCCCTCTCCAGGTGCACAGCTAGAGAGTGGGGACGGACCGGTGGTCCCCAGAGGAAACCAGGAGGCCGCTGCCTGGAGAAGGGGCTGAGCCTTAGCAGGTGAGGGCCCCCCAGAGCTGGTGTGCCCAGGGCCAGCCCCTTCTTGGCTTCACACAGCACAGAGCCCTGGGGACTCCAGGGGCCATTCAGGCTGGGCTTCCTGTCTTGGTTGCCCACCCCTGAGCTGGGGGACGTAGATATTTCTCCTCTCTGAGCCTCAGTTTCCTCTTCTGTGAGATGGGGTGAGGACACAGAGAGGAGGCCCCGTGGAGACGGAGGCCGAGAGGAGTTGGTTATGGGCCACGAGCCGGGGGGTGCAGGGAGCCCCCCAGCAGCGGGCAGGGGCAGGGGAGGGGGCTTCTGTGGGGCCTTTGAGGAAGCGGGGCCCAGCCCCTTCCACCACAGACTCCAGCCACCAGGGCCGTGGCGCTGCTGCCCTGGGCCGGCTGGTCTGGGGTTCTGGCTGGGGTCGCCCTGGCCGTCTGTCACCTGCAGTGAGAAAGGATCTTATTCATTCAGGTACCCATCCTCCAGAGGCCTCGGGTCAGGACCCTCGGACCCCCTGCCTCCTCCCACACACTCGCCCAGGCCATTCCCACGGGGCAGGGTGGTCCAGTGGTGACAGCTGGGGGACATCTTTGACACACTGTCTGCCCGGCTCTGATTTTCCCTGTGGCTGTGGTGAGCCGGAGCCTGACTCCCAGCTTCCTCTGCTGGAGAATGGGGGCAGGATCCCCGGCCTCTCAGAATGACTCGCAGTGCCTGGAACACAGCAGGTGCTCAATAAACGGTGGCTGGGGCAGCTGTGCCTGCTGTCCAGTGTCCCTTCGAGCCTGGCCATCCAGTCCCCTGGATCCTAGTCCCATCTGCACAGTCCATTAGGGACAGGAATTCCCATGGTTGTACCCAAAGTCACCAACCCATGCGTTCAGCCGCAGGTCACCTGAGCCCTAGGTGTGCTTTTGCTTTAACGTCTCAAAGTTGAGGGACAAACCTCCAACCCCTGGATGAGGAACTCGAGGCTAAGACGGGTGAGGTGAGTCGTCTACACCCAGCTAGGAGTGCGGCAGAGCAGGGTTGGAACCCAGGTTGCCCGAGCCCTGGTCCCTCTGTTCCTGTGACCCTGAGGTCCGTTTTGGGGATCTGTGGTCAGCTGGTGGCCTGGTGGGAGATCAGTCGGGACCCCCAGGCCTGCCTACTCTAGGCAGGGGATGGCCGGGAAGCTTGGGCAGGTCAGGCGCCAGGATTTGGACAGGGGACATTTTCTAAGGTGAATAAAGTCTTTAGGCAGCTCCTGGAACCACCCAGGGCCAGGTTCTGGGGTGGGAGCGGTCATGGAGGCTGTGTCTGTGTCCCCACGGCGGGGGGTGGGGGGGCCTGGGGCTGACACCAGGATGGAACCAGCTCCAAGCCTTGTCGTGACCTGACTGCACATCCACCACGCACCACCTGTCCAGGAGCCACACAGGGTCGGTGGGAAGCTCCCGGAGCGTCCCTGGCATGTGGAGGGGACAGGGACCGGCTCCGAGTCACACAGCCAGGTGCCCTGGGCAGAGGTGTGGTGGGAGGGGAGAGCAGAGGGCTGGGTGTGAACCGGGGAGCACAGGGAGGATACGGGCGCACTCCATTTCCTGAGCAGGGCTCTCTTCCAGAGCTGGGGGAGCGCGGGGACAGCGTGGCCACCCAGCCAGTTTGGACAGGAGCATGAAAACACCACCTCGTCCCTGCGCTGGTCTCCGCGCGGCTCCTGATGGACAGGGCATCGCGAGAGGCTGGTGGGGTTCAGGAGAAGAGAGGGTGGCGGGGCCCGGGCTGTGCTCAGAGCTGGGGGTCCCCAGTGAGCCCCAGACCCTCTCCTGAGCCTCAGCATCGGGATCTGCACGAGGATCGGAGTAGGGGCCCTGTGTGCGCGAGCGTGCGTGCGGGTGCATGTGTGTGCGTGCGGTGCCTGTACGTGCTCGTGTGTGCGCTCAGGTGCGTGCTCGTGCGTGCGCTCGAGTGCGTGCACATGCAGCGGAGGCCCGCGCTGGGCTCCACAGTCTGGATCGTGCTGTTCCTGGGCTCTGGGCCTCTGGGGTGCAGAGGGTCCCCGCTGCGGCCTTCGGCTGGTCCCAGCTCCAGCCTCCCCTCACCCAGGCCCCTTCCCCTTCGGCCAGACCAATCCCAACATGGAAACAAGGAGCGGGCCCAGCCACTAACAGCGGGAAACCCTTGTCCCCAGCCTGTCCACTAGCCCCAGTTCCCCACCGAAGGTCTCCAGGGAGGAACGAAGCGGTGGACCTGGCTTGGACAGGCCTGCCGACCACAGCTGTGCGCTCCAAGGAATTGGGGTCCAGCCCTGAGCTGAGATCCCATCGCTGCCACCCAGCAGCTGGGTGACCCTGGGCAAGTGACTCAGCTTGGCTGAGCCGGGTTACGAATGTGCTGTGAGGAAAAGATTGGGGTGTGTGCAGAGGGACCTTTGATCCCAGAACCCTCCTGGCCCCCTGCCCCTTGTGGGGTGTGGGAAGGGAAGGCCCCGGGCAGGCGGGGATTAGCCCCTGGTCCCTCTCCTCCCGGGCGGGCGGCACTTTTAACCACCTTCTCCCCGGGATCAGCCCTGCCCCCTCCCAGGCCCCGGGCAGGCCTGTGTTTGCCGTGGGGATCTGGCCGCTGCTTTCATTCCCGGGCAGTTTTGCTTGCTGTGGGCGGCGGGGCCAGCGCTGCCCGGCTCCCCCGGAGCAGATGGGCCGCAGTGAGAAAGGCGGCGGCTGGCCCTAAGAGGATTGGCGGCCTTTCTTCCCACCCTTTGTGCTGCTCCCCGAGGGCCACCAGCGCCCAGACCACAAAGGCCATTTGTTTGTCCGCCTCTGGGGGTGCAGGGGTCACCAAGGACAGCGGCGCCCCCGGAGAGGGCAGCACCCTCTGTGCGGGAACACCCAGAGCCCTGGAGCATCAGGCCAGGAAGATGCGGGGAGTCCTGGGTGCCCCGCCCCCGCAGGTCACCGGAGCACTCTCACAGGTGGCCGCTGGATGTTGGGAGGTGGAGGGACCCGGGGAGACTGGGTGTGTTCCCTATCACCCCTCGGAGAGCCTGAGGCCCAGACAGGGCTCCGACTTGGCCAAATCACGCAGCAAATTAGCAGGTGACCAGACTCTCTCCCAGGGACCCCCACGCCCAGCAGAGCTCCCTGCTCTCCAGGAGACATCCTTCTCCTCTGCCAAGTCCTTGTGCCATCGGAGGCTCTGAGTAAGGGGATGTTTGGGGACAGTGGAGGCTGGAGGGGCTCAGCAACCTGAAGTGGGGGAGCCAGGAATCCCCAGAGCCTGAGGCCGAGCTCCCAGCTTGGATGCCGGGGTGGGGGCAGGACGGGGAGGAGCGCACCTGTGCGTGGGTCGGCTGACGGTGGGCCTGCCTTCCGCTGGGTGCTGAGCAAACTGGGAAAGTCCACCTCGTCTGCCCGGGGCCTCGGTGGCCGGGACACTGGTTTGTGTGCCCCAGCTTTCGTCCAGAGCTTCCCAGTGTCCACACTGTGGTCCCTGGGGGCCACCTAACTCTTGTTCTGGGTGGCTGTCCTGTGCAGTGCAGTGTCCTTGACCTCAGTAGCATCCCCAAGAGACGTGACCAAAAAGTCTCCAAGCATTGCCAACTGTCCCCTGGACCAGGGGTGGGGAGGGGTCAGCCTGATTGAGAACCGCTGGCCTTGACCCCATCCGGACCTTCCGTCCATGCATCGAGCATGTTCCTTGAGTTCCCAGGGTGTCCGTCCCTGTTCTAGGGCCTGGGACACAGCCTCGGAGTGGCATGGCCTCCCTGAGGCGAGGGTGACATCGTCCCTGCAGGGGTGGAATGGGGACCTGGGTCGCCAAGCAGCTCCTGGAGGAGGTGACATTTGAGCCAGGCCTAGGAGGCTGGGTGCGAGGTTCCGGGACAGAGAAGATGGGAGAGAGAACGTTCCGGAGAACAGGGAGAGGGAGAAGGCTCTCCAGGGCCTGCTGCGTATGCAGCATCTCCAGGGATACGGACGGACGGACAGATGGACGAGGCAGGCCTCTTTCAGTGTGTGGAGGGCCCAGGGCAGGCAGAGAGGTCTGCACCCTGTGTGTGGGGGGGCCGTGGCGGGGCTGGAGAGCCCTGGGGGGAGGGGCAGGAGTGAGCCTCTGGAGGTCAGGAGGCAGGAGCTGGGCAGGCAGAGAGGAGGCCGCAGAGCCGCGAGCGCCCGAGGCTGTGGGAGAGCTGCGGGGGGGGGCGTCCTGGCAGCAGAGGGGGGAGAGGAGGCCAGAGCGGGCACCGGGCAGAGGCGCCCAGCTGAGGGGTGGCGGGGCGATGGGAGCCGCAGAGAGCCTCTGAGCAGGGGAGTGTTTTTATTTTGGAAACATCGCCCGAGCTGTGGTGAGGATATTGATTCGGACAAGTGGCAGGGGGCCGCATTGCAGTGGTTCAGGAGTGAGATCAGGGTGACAGTGGCCATGACTGCAGGGGACAGGTCCCACAGACACAGACACGTAGGCGGTGAAGGCGTTAGGACAGGAGCTGGGATGTGGGGCAAGCAAGGGGGGGCAGGGATCTGGGCAGATTCTGGGTATCTGGCAGCGCAGCCCCGAAACGGATCACCAGATTAGAAACACCAGATAAAAGACCGCGTAGAGGAAAAGATGTCTGCGGAGCTGAGAATACGGATTATTTTTGGAACTTTGCTCTCATGCATCTTCTTTAAATATTGATAACCAACATTTTTAAGGAGCTTAATGCGGCGTGCCTGGTTCTGTTCTAAGCACTTCGCGTGCCATAACGCATTAAGTCCTCCAGGCAACCCTCTGGAGCACAGATTTTCTATCATCTCCAACATGAAGAGACAGGCACAGAGAGAGTAAGTAACTTGTCCAAGGTCACACAGCTAGTGAGTGGCTGAGGTAGGACTTCAACTCAGGACTTCAAGTCTGCATCAGCTGGAGGCAGAGTCTGGATGCAGAGTCTGTTTCTGGCCTGCTTCACTTTGGCTATGACAGCCCTGCGCCGTAGCTACAGTCCTCCGTGTCTATGGAGGGTACGTTTGGAGACCCGCAGTGACATCAGAAACTGCGCAACAAACTAAACCCTCTTCTTTAGGCCGCGTTTCCCCCTGTACATTCGTATGTTAAGTTTAATTTATAAATTAGGCTTAGCGAGAGATCAACAGGAACGGATAGAACAATTGTGACCAGGCTGAGACTGCGGTGAAGGCTGGCGGGTGAGGTGGCGCTCTCGAAAGAGCCAGGGCAAGTATTCATGGAGTGGCGCCGCGGTGGGCTGTGGGTGGCTGGAAGAGACAGGTGAGGGGAGCTTGTGTCACGTGAAGGTAGGCGTTTAAGTGCCTCGGTGTGCCAAAGGTCGGGGCAGAGGGGATGTGAGCTGGATGGCGTCTTCTGGAATCTCAGGGAAACCTGCCCCTGGGCAGTGACTACTGCCACCTGGTGGCAGGGCACCCCGAGCCGAGACCTGACAGAGGCCCCGGGGCCAGGGTGGTCAGGGCCCACTAAGGGAAGCGCCGCTGTCGGCTCCGACTCAGGCTGTGGGTGTGTGCTCCGGGGGACGGTGGCGGTGGGCACCGGGATGGGGGCGCCCTGTCCCGACGCCCCGCGGTTCCCTAGGCGACCAGGATCAGGCATTTCTGAAGCAGCTGGTGGGAGCTCGGGGTGGGGTGGCTGTGCCCGTGACCCCGACCTTCTAATCCCAGGGCTTAACTGACTTCATTAACTCCAGGGGGATCGAGAGGGACCCCCCAGTCATTCTGTCACGTCACACTCAGAAAAGTCCCATTCCTGGGGGGGGCTGTGCAGGGAAAACTCCCGCACGAAGGCAGGGGACTGGGCGGCTTGACCCTTGCACGTGAACCCTGGGCTGCCTGGTAAGAGGGCGGGATGCGCCCCATCCCCCTGCGGGCCCAGGGGCAGCCAGGGAGAAAACTGGGTGAAAGCAGAGCATGCCGGGTAGCCTGGCCCAGCGCTGAGCGGTCCGGCCGCCCACCCCCCACTGTGGTTGCCATGGCGACCGAAGGGGGAGGGAGGAGGAGAGGAGACCACTCGCCCCTCAGACAATGGGAACCTATTCCAGGTCACACTTGGACTTACCCTGAGGGGCTCCCCAGAGCCCGTGGCCCCCAGGGGTTTGGGGGAGCAGCGCTGGGCTCAGGCCAGGCTGGGGGCCCCAGTCGGGGGGTCACAGACAGGATCCTCTCCCCTTCTTGCCAGGCTCCCAGATCCCCCAAGATGGAGTGGGGTTCGTCTTCTGAGGCCCCTCTCCTCCGGGGAGCTTGACCTTCCGCGGGGAGGCGAACGGCGGCGGCGCTCGGGGAACAGGCCGAATATTTTATGAGTAATTTAATATCTGGAGCGAGAATCACCGAGCCGAGAACCGCCCGCGGCCCCGAGCCAGGAGCCGTCTGGTCCTCATGATGCACGGGCGGGCGGGCGAGGATGGGGACTGACAGGACACGTCGGAGGACCCGGGAGTTAACCCTTGGAGGATCCTGGGTGGGTGCCGTGGAGGGGCAGGGCCCCATGCCCGCTGGGCGGAGAGCGCTGGGCGGTGTGGGTGGCCTGGGCACTCTGAACCTGGGGGCCAAAGGGCAGCCGCTGGGCACAGGCCTGGCTTTGAGACTCGGGGACCTGAGTTTGGTTCCTGTAAGTGTGTGACCCGAGACTGCCCGGGCCTCAGTTTCCTCATCTGTCACCTGGGGATGATAATCATGGTGCATCACAGGTCAGAGTGCTGCGGGGTGCCCGGGACACAGCAGGCACTCAACAAACGCCTGCCCCAGGACACGACTCTGAAGCCGTGTGAACCTCACAGCCACCCTTTCAGGTCCCCAGACACCCCTGCTGGGTGTCTCCCCAACACCTGGCCCCCTCCTGGACTGCTCTCCCCGTGGGAATTGAGGCCTAAAGGGACCGTCACAGGCCCCAGTCCTGTCCCTCTCCTGACACTTGTCCTGGCCCCCACACCGGGTTCCTGGGGAGGGGCCATGTCTGGCCTGGTGGCCCTGAGTTGGCCGGGCCCCAGGTCTGGGCTTCTCACCTGTGGAAGGCGAGTAACACCCACCTGCCTCGCCACAAGGCCTCCCACGAGGAGGGCGGACTGTCCCGGAAAGACGCGAGCACAGAGCGCGGTGCTGTTCATCGCCGCAACCTCCAGAGAGCAGCCTGAAGCGGGAGGCCACGCCTGTCCTCCCAGGGACTCCGGAGGCTGAGGCCGGAGGGTCACAAGTTGGCGGGGGCTGGCCATGACCCACAGCTGCTGGGAGCAGGGTTCACACCAGGCCTGGGAGCCCCAACCTGAGCAAGCTCCGGGCCCTGTCCACCAGCCAGGGCCAGCAGGGACGCGGCAGCTGGGTCTTTGGCCTCACCGCGGTGCCCCAGAAGGAAGAGCCCGCCCGGCCTGGGAAGGGCCCCCCGTTTTACAGATGAGGAGACCGAGTCCCAGAGAGGGCCACTCTTGCCTGGGGTCACTCAGTGGGTCAGGGACTCGGGGGCCAGGCTCCTGCAGCACATTCTGCCCCCAGGGACCTGTTTTTAATGTCGTGTCACTGAAGGCCCCAACGTCCCACTGGAGGGTCGAGCAGGGGGCACCTCTGTGTACAGAGGGTCAGCTCGGTGGCCGGTCCCCGTTCGCCTCCTGGTTGCTGCGAGCAGCTCTGGAAGCAGCTGGGGCTGGGCCGGTGAGGCTGCCCTCATCACATCAGTGTTCCCAACAAGGCCGGCGACACCGCTAACAAGGGCCCAGCTGTCCTTCCCATGGGTACCTGCGCTCCCGGGGACAGCTGGCCTGGAGAGGCGGAGGTCGGGGCCCAGCAGCAGGCCGGCCTGCTGGGTGATGCAGCCCCCAGGCCCCTGCCAACCCAGCAGGTGCCCGGGGCGGCCCCACCCGGGGCTGGAGGGAGGAGGGAAATGGTGCCCCTGGGCTGGGGCGCGGCGGTCAGCGGCCTCCCGTAGGTCATCTGAACCACCAGCAAGTGGCAGGCCCGCTCACGGTCAGGATGCACTGTGAGCACCTGCTGTGTTGCTCCTGATCCGGTGCCCACTGAGTGCCAGGCAGGCGCTCTGCACGCACCACACGTCAGCCCGCCCGAGCCGACGCTGCTTGCTATAGTTGGACCCGGCATGTCCCACCGAGGCCGGGAGTTGAAGGCTCAGTCCCTGGGGTGGTGCCATGGGAGGTGGTGAGTCCTCTATGGGGTCTTGAGGAAGGTCCATAGGTCACTGAGGTTATGGGACCTCAGAGTCTCTTCCTCTCCTTTTTTTCCTCCCTAGTTTGTGATGTTTGTAGGTTCCATCCACCGCGTGCTCCCAACCATCGCCACCCGGCAGCCCCACCAGAGGCCCAACGCAATGGGTTCACGGGATCAAGGACTGGAACCTCTAAAACTGTCAGCCAAGCAAACCTTTTTCTCTTATAAGTCAATTATCTCGGGCATTTCATTATAGTGACCGAAAGCTGACTGGGGCTCTTGTGAGATGCCCAGTGCTTTTGTTCAGCGCCTGGCACACAGTGGGTGCTCAGCACGACTCCTTCTGCACCTTCTTTTGTCTCCTTTCTGCCGGTCGCTTGTTTACCTTCTCCCTTCTTCCACAGATGCTGTGGGCGGCTTAGAGGAATAAATGTGTGATGAGACCGCGCAGATAAGAATCTGCCAGAGCACCGGGAACGGAAGGGAGCGTGTGGAAAGGAGGAAGGAGACCACGGGAAACGTGCTCCGTGCGGACTTGCCAGCGCCTGGGCCTTGGGCTCCCCTGCATCGTTGGGGCTTCAGCCTCCGTTTCCTGGCCTCTGAGCCGGGCAGCGACTCCCACATTGGGAGGGGGCTGGGGGGACCAAGTGGGATGACAGGCCTGTTCACGTGCTCAGTGGGGTTCCTCCCTGGCCGTCTTGTTTCCCCTTGAAATGCCAGCCTCCTGGGGGCTGTCCCCAGGGCCTCCAGCACGGCCACCTTCCCTTTCTCTCAGGCAGGATGGAGTCTGACATCCTCCGGCTTCTCACTCCCTCTCCATCCCCCGCACAGCATATATTATGTATACGCTCCGTATCCATGGGGATGGCTTCCAGGAATCCCACAGGCTCCAAAATCTGAGGATGCTCACACCCTTTATTTAAAACAGTGCGGTCTTTCCGCACAACCCGAGCGCCTTCTCTCACGGGCTTGATTTCTTGGGGTGGTGGGGACCGGGCCAGGCTTCACGCTCTGCCGCTGAGCTGCACCCACAGCCGCCTTTGAATGTTCCGCGTGGTCTCTAGGTGACTCACGACACCTAATACAGCGCCAGTGTTGTGCCAATAGCAACGCTCTGTTGCTGAGAGGCCAATAACCAGGAAAAAGTGTCTGTGCATGTTCAGGGCACGCAGTTGTCATGGCCCACAACACGGCACAGGATCCGAGTTGTTTGAACTTGACGATGAAGAGCCCACAGATACCGAGGGCTGACGGCATCTGTCTCCAAAGGAAGTGGCAAGATGGATCCATCCCAGCCGGGGGGCGGTGGCACCCACCTGTGATCCCAGCAGCTTGGGAGGCTGAGGCAGGAGGATCACAAGTTCAAAGCCAGCCTCAGCGACTTAATGAAGCACTAAGCAACTCAGTGAGACTCTGTCTCTAAAAAAAATACAAAAAAAAAAAAGGGCTGGGGATGTGGCTCAGGGGTGAAGTGCCCCGGAGTTCAATCCCTGGTACCAAAAAAGAAAAAAGAAGAAAAGATGGATCTAGTTAGCGCACCCAGGCTTGCATTTGAACGTTTGATAAACGTGCACTTCCAGGCCCTCTGGGCTGGGCAAGGTCAGCTTTGGCTTCCGGATTCCTTCCTGGGTCCTGGCTGTGGGCCGTGGGTGGGTGATTGCTGACAAGTGAGGTAGGCTGGGGACTCGGCCATTCCTCCCCCCAGAAGGTGTCCCTATAATAACTCTTTGCCATTTTTCCATGGGTGTCACTGGGCAGCAAGAGCCTCTGGATCCTGAGCAATAGGCTTGGGATGGACCTGAGAAACGGTTTCTGTCACAAGTTCCCTGAGTGAGCCTAGTGCAGTTGATGGTGTTCAACCCCCTCCTTCTGGGGGCAGTGTAAGGCTCAGAGAGGCTGAGAGAAGGAACTTGGCTCCACAGTGGATCACCAGATGAGCCACCGCCCCAGCTCAGTCCCGTACCATCCCCTGACACCTTGTTGGGGAAGCAATTCCCAGGCCCCACCCCAGACCTTACAGAATTAGGATCTGCTTTCACAAGACCCAGGTGGGAGGAGCCTGTGCCGCGGTGGGACCCCAATTCCAAGGACAACCCACCACCACAGCCACGAAGGTGCTTGTGGAGTGGGGCTTGGCACAAGGAATCCCATGTGACCCTCATCAGCTTTCTGGGGTGGGTATGATTTTCTCTCTTTTAAGGCAGATAAGGAAACTATAGCCCAGAGAGGTTAAGTGATTAGCCTGAGAGTACACAGCTTATAGGGGGCGGTGGAGGGATTTGAGCCCAGTCTCTCGGACCCCATGGTGCTTCTGGTCTCTTCACTCCTGGACTCTCCTCCCTTCTGCATTTCTCATCTTGTGTGGGTGTCAACGGACAAGAAGTCGGTCTCCCTTTCCTGGCCTTCATATGGCCCCTGGACTCCCGAAGGACAGAGGCTGGGTCTACCCTCTTCCTGGGATTCAAGCTCAGCAGTCTGGAGGGTGTGGAGGAACACCCACATTGGAGTCACGGGGTCGGGAGGGGGTGACAGAGGTAGGTGCAGGTCCCCAGGTCAGGTGTGTGGAATCCGACCCTCTGGGGTGTGGCTCTGGCACCAGCGAGTGCCCGGGAGATTTTGTTTCCTGCTAAAGGTGGACACCCAGGGTCTCAGATGGCGCAGGGCAGGGATTGCAATGCCACAGCCCAACGCACTGAGGCCTGGCCACCCTTCCTGGCCACGTCCCAGGGCTGGAGTGGAAGGAGCTCTGGCCTGGGAGTCGGGCCGCTCTGGGCTCCTCTGCTCAGGCTTGGGACCAGTCCTGGGCCGACAGCAGGACAGACCTGGGGCCGACCCCATCCACTGCCGGTGTGCGTGCAGCCTGCTAAGAGCGCGCTCACATCCTTAAATGGGTGAAAAGAAATTCGAGAGGAAACCACTTTGTGGCTCATGAAAATCATGTAAAATTAAAATGTCAGTGTCCGTGAGATGTATTGGAACACAGCTTTGCTCATTTGTGTTTTATTTTTAGTTTTTTCATGCTCATGTATTGATCTAGTCGCCTCTCAGTACCCAAGGGACTATATCCAGGACAACCCTCCCCCATACCAAAGCCCACAGCCTCTCAAGTCCCTTAACTAAAATGGTGTAGTATTTTGCATAAAACCTACCCAAAGACTTTTTTTTTTTTTTTTTGGTACTGGGGATGGAACCCAGGGGTGCTTTGTCACTGAGCCACATCCCCAGCCTTTTTTATTTTTTAATTTTGAGACAGGGTCTTGCTAAGTTGCTCAGGGCCACACCAAGCTGCTGAGACTGGCCTCACGCTTGTGATCCTCCTGCCTCAGCCTCCTGAGCTGCTGGGATTCTGGGCCGGTGCCATGGCATCTGGCTTCTTCTGTATTCTGTGAAACATCACTGGATGACTTACAATCCCTAATGCAATGGAAATGCTACGTCCATGATTGTGAGACTGTCTTGTTTAGGGGGTGGTACATGGAAAGAAGTTACACGTGTTCTGTGCAGACGCATTTTAAAATACATTTCCCATCCCCAGCTGTTGGAATCCAGGGGGGCAGAACCTGTGGATATGGGGTCGGGGAGGGGCTGTGTATTGCTTCTTGCTCTTTTCATGCTATAAAAAGAGGGTTGAGTAGTTGCAACTGAGATTCTGTGGCGTGCAAAGCCCCTCATATTTCCTGTTTCGTTCTTTACAAAGTTTGGCGATCCTGGTCTAGAGTCGTGGTCCGTTATTGTGGTGGTGGCTTTGGCTGTATGGGGTGACACTCCTATGCATCTACAGCCGGGCTGCGGGCCAGCCCTGGAGGAGCCACTCACAAGCTGAAATCCTCGGGCGCAGGTTCGACCGGCTGCTGTGCCCGCAGATGGCTGCAGCCAGCCCGGCCGCCGGACAGAGTCCGCAAGTGAAGGACACGGTTGAAGGGTCTTCCAAGCGGACCCTCAGCCCCACCCCGGAAGTTCGTAGCCCACCCACCGAGTGGGAGGGGCTGGGAGGGAGGGAGGGAGGAGTCACCGTCCAAACCCACCCTCTTCCCGGCGGTCCTTGTCCTGGTGCCTACTCCCCCCTGGTGGCAGCAAGCCCGAAGCTGAGCTCACATCAGCCTTGAGGGCCCGCGGCTCCGCGAGGAAAACATGTCAAAGACTTTGGCGTTTGCAATTCTTTCATCCAGGGCATCTACTCTTAGGAATTTTTGAGTTATCATTTTATTAATTTATTTTTGTTACCAGGGATTGAACCCAGGGGCGCCTAACCACTGAGCCACACCCCCGGCCTGTTTTATGTTGTATTTAGAGACAGGGGCTCACTGAGTTGCTCACTAAATTGCTGAGGCTGGCCTTGAACTTGCAATTCTCCTGCCTCAGCCTCCTAAATTGCTGGGATTGTAGGCGCCCGGCTTGCTCCTAGGACTTCAATCCAAGGAAGGAATCAAGGGTGGGTATCACCGCCTCGTTGGTTCCGAAGGAGATGAAGCAGACCAGGGTCAGTCTCTGGCTGTGGCCACACAGCTGCAAGAAGTCTAGGCAGGATCTGAAGCAGCTGTGTCCCACTCGAGAGCCACACTCCCAAGGGCCCCAAAGAAGCATCAAACTGCCTGGCTTCCATCAGGCTCTGTTCCTTCCAGGCTGTGTGATGTGGAGCGATTCACTTAACTGCTCTGGACCTCAGTGTTCCCATCTGTAGAAGGGACCGTGACTGTGAGGGTTCTGGGGATGAGCGGCAAGCACTCTGGAGCCCTGCGCGGGTGAGCTGATTAGCATGGGACTCATTAAGCCCCTGATTCCTTAACGTCGCCCTGCCCTGTCCCTTCTCTTACCTGGCTCAAAGTGTGGGTCACTGGAGGGAATGTTGTCAGGAGCAACCGGGGGTGACGGTGGAGACACCAGGATTTGGCACTCAAGTCCAGAGGTGGCAGGGGTTCAAGCAGGTCTTCCCACACTCTTCCCAGAGCCGCCTGCACCCACAGGCCTGGGTGGGCTGGGCGATAGCACCCACCACACCTCAACAGAGGCCCTGAGACCTGGAGCTGAACCCCGGGTTTCCTGCGGGGCTAGGAACACCCCCCAGAGCCCCGGCTGTACCTGCCAACAGGCACGGCCCCAGGAGGCTGTGGATCCTGAAGCCTGGTCTCCCCTGGTCTCCCCGGCAGCGGCACACGGGAACTCGGGGAAATGCACTTCTAGCAATTCCCATGCCCACCCACCTGCTGGGCTGGCCCCTCTCCTCCTAGGCTCCTTGTGACTCCAAGGGAGAGAACAGTTGCAGTGCGTGACTGTCACGGCCTGCTCACCCCGGTCCCTGCCGGTTGGGCCCCTAGCAGACTTGTTCCAGGCGACGCCAATCAGGTCCGCTCTTCCAGGAGCTGGGATCTTAGACCCTGTGTCCCTCCCACCCTAGGGGCTACCTTGGGGCGTCAAGAGGTCATTCAGGGGCATGGCAGGGCGATGGGTGCCCTGCAGTGCTTGGTACCAGTAGACAGGCTAGCCCTGGGGTAAGGGGTGGCCTCACGTGGATCAACCTGATGGCAGGCGCTGGAACACTCCTGAGGCCCAAAGGATTCAGGTAAGGCACCAGGGAGGGCCCAAGGGTCTGCAGAAGGAATTCCAGCAGCTGCGGATGGCAAGGAAGTGGTATGTCTAAAGGTTTAGCAAGAACTTTTTTTTTTTTTTAATATTTTTTAGTTGTAAAATGGATATTTCATTTCATTTATTTATTTATATGTGGTGCTGAGGATCAAACCCAGGGCCTCACACCTGCCAGGCAAGTGCTCTACGACTGAGCCACAACTCCAGACCCTAGCAAGAAATTTTTGACAAACAGAAGCCGAGCACCCGTCAGCTGTGTGGTCCGGGGGGCAAACTGCTTGCCCTCTCTGAGCTTCGATTTTCCTCCCTGCAAAATTGGAATAATACTGTATGTACATTCTAGGGGTTTTATTGAGGGTTAAATGAGG